TAAGGAGGCCAAGTCAATGCTAGGTTTCAAGGCTTTTGAAGAGGTGAGGCAGTCTTGCTTGGGGTCAGTGTTACAGGCTACAGATTGAAGCCTTTGTGATCTGGTGCAGTGAGAACCCCAGGGCCCTCACCAGATCAGTAAGCACACATGGCCAGTGTCCTCCAGGGGCAATAAGAAGTCATGGATGACCCAGCTCCTCTTCCAAGATGCCCTCCTGAATTACTGCACCAGCAACATGGAGAAGTACTATTTGGAGGGTAATATACCTTTCAAGATTCTGCTCGTTGTTGAGAAGGCTTCCAGAGGCCCTCCTTTTATTGGTGACCTTCAACCCAATATCAAAGTGGCGTTTCTCTCTCCAGACACCACCTCTTCGATCTAACCAACCGATCAAAGAGCTATAGCAGCTTTTAAGGTCTGCTACCTGAGGAGGACCTTTGTTCAGGCTATTGCTACAACTGAGGAAGACACTGCTGCAATTCTGGAAGGATTACAGCACCTGTGACAGCATCAGGAACCTCGCTTGGGCTTGAGGTGGCGTCACCCAGGAGTGTAAGTATGGCATCTGGAAGAAGATACTCAAGAGGTTCTTCAGCGACTTCAAAGGGTTGGCCAAAGGTGAGGAGGCTGCAGAAATCTGCAAGGCTGTGGCTGAGATGGCCAACAGCTTTAACCTGGGTGTGGATGCGGGAGACGCTGAGGAGCTCCTGCAGGTGGCCCTGAGGACCTGAAAAGGAGGCGTTGTTGGAACTGGAACAGGAACGCATAGCTCACAACGAGGCAAGAGAAAAGGAAACTGCAGGAGAAGAAAAAGACCCCCCAAGAAAATGCACAGTGAAGGGTTTAGCAGAAGCTTTTGCAGACCTCAGCGGGCTCCTTAAACAGTTTGAAAACATGGACCTTAACACTGAAAGCATTTCATGAACAGAGAGGGTGTTCATGGTGCATTATCTGCTTCCAGCAAATCTGTGATGAAAACAAGGAACAAGCCAAGCAAACCACCGTGGGCAGGTCCTTCAGGAGTTGTTCTAGCGCCTTGCATTACAAAGGTGCTTACTAAATGCTTCTTAAAGAAGAGAAAATCCAAAGACATGTTTTCAAATTAAAAAAAGTTTTTCTTCTTTTTTTTTTTTTTTTTTTTTGGTAAAACAAAATGTAAAACTCACATGTAGAATGCAAAGATCATTTTGTCTGTTGCCACCTTCCAAAGATTGCTTTTATCTAGTTAAAATTCTAAGTGAAATGAAAATGGAGGCACCACAATATGTACTAAGCCTGTACAAATAAAACGGATAAATCACACATCATAGTGCTGACCTCCCAAGGGCCGGGGGGAGAGTGAATCGTTTTATGAGGTGGTGACATAGGAGAAAACATAGGTTTTGTGTGTGCACTACCCACGTTAGCCGCACATGGTCATGGTACCTCGTGGTCACGGTGCCCCCACCCAGGTGTGGGCCTGGGTACCACGTGCTGGGGGAACTGAAGGTACCTGTCTCTCGAAGGTTAAAGGCAGCCACATGCCAGGGTGCCTGATGGCCCCAGGAGCCCCGGGCACAGGCACTCATCCGGGGGGCAGATTTACCCATGTGGCCCCTAGGCTTTCTTTGTCACCTGCCACCGGGCTGCTTTCATTCTTTCTCATCAAACCCAATTCCAATGTTGGGTATTTTTTTTCTTTTTCTCTTAAAAACAAAAATGCTTGGCAAGCAATTCTGTGCAGATTGACCGCTTTCCTTTCCATGTTCATCCAACATGTTTAAGACAAAGCTGGAATGGACCCAGGTAGGAGATTGACAGGACGGCTCAGCTCGCTCCTGGGAGATGGGCTCAGGACACAGCCGCTCGGAGTCACAGCAGGTGCACGGTCGGGGCGCCATTGGAGTTGGTGTTTTGAAGCCTGTGACATCTGCTACGTGATCAGAGGGCCCCGGGAGTGAGCTGCCTCAGCGGCCCCTCCCAGGCCACGGGCAGCAGGCTTGGACCTGCAGCACGTCCGAGCCCTGTCCCTTCTCTGGCTCCTTCTCGGAGACACGGGGGATTTTAGTAACTGCATCTTGGCCAGGTGCACTTGGCCGTGGGGTGCTCCACCGAATGCTGCCTCCCTGCTTTGGGGTGTCTTCTCTGAAAGCCAGGCTTTGTTCTCCCCGAGCCCTTCCCCCTGGGGGTGGGACGGGTGCCTGAAGTGGGGTGGAGATGGTTTGGGAGAGTAGCTGACGGCAAGCTGTTCCTCGGCAGCCTGCCTTCTGCCGCGGGAGCTCAGTGACTGGCAGCGGCAATGCTTTAAAAAATAAAAAGTCAGAAGGAGAGCTCTGAGGAGCGTCCTGGTAGGTAGTTTTCTGTAGCAAGTGGAGGGGAGGCCTGTTTGTGAGGCCGAGTTTCATGAGAGCCCCGCCGGCTCCCTCTGGAAGGGAGGGTCAGGGCCTCGGGGCCTTCCCCTCTGTCTCAGGCTCCCGGCTCTCTGTCCTTGGTGCAGTTTGAGAGGCTGGCAGTACTGTTTCCTGGAGGGAGGAAAGCTCTAGAGTCTGGGAGCATGTTCTAGAGGGGGTTGGGGCCACTGAGAGGGAGCCAGTCTTGTACCACCCGGCAGCGCTAGGGCTTTGGTGTGGCCTGTGCTGATCACCAGGAGGTTGGAGGGGGGCAGGTGGCCTGCAGGAAGGTCTGTCACGTCTGGGACACTTCGGGGCAAACTCATTGTTTATAACTTTGATCTTTAATCATTAATGTCTACTCACCCTTCAGCTGTATTGAATAACAGTCTATTGAAAATTGTTATACGTAGACATACAAGCATATGTATAAAATTGTATGTCTGTATATGACTATTTAATTCATGTGCTCACGCAACTGATAATTAGAAACTTGGAAATTTTATTGAAGGCTTTTAAACATACAGACCGCCTTGCAGGACCCTCCTCCTCCCTGGTGTGGTGTGTGACCACAGCGTCGGGTTCTGATCTTTCTTACTCTCCTGATGGCAGACAGTGCTGTGCGGGGACAAGAGTCACACACGCCCACCCTGCCCTACTCTTAAAGTGGATTAAAAATATCTCCCTATTATATTGTCTTTTCCTTTCTATGTCACTTGCCCTTTTCGTTTTATGTTCGTTGATATTCATAGCCATTACAGACTCGGCTCGTTTCCTTTAACGATTATTAACTGTATCTTCTTTTTTTGTTAATCTTTACCCGAGGATATTTTTTCCCTTGATTTCCTTTCAGAGATAGTGGGAGGGAAGGAGGGAAGGAGAGAGAGAGAGAGAGAGAGGCATCAATGTGAGATGACTGGTTGCCTCATGCATGCGCCCTGACCAGGGCCAGGAACTGAACCCTCGAAGCTTCGGTGCACAGGCCAACACTCCAACCACTAAGCCACACCGGCCAGGGCTCTGTATTTTCTTTGTGATATTCAAATTGCTACAGCCTGGCCCGCGATTGTCCTTTGAAGCTGGATTCCATGCCTTACCCCTCCTACCCAGACTTTTGGGAGCAGCCTTCGCCTCCTTGCGAGGTGGTTGCAGGCCCACCTTGATGTTTCCCTAAGACCTGGAATCCAAAGGAGGCCTGTTAAGGTTTAACTCAAGTCTGGGCACCAAAGTGTTGACTGACGTGCAGTGATGGGTGGAGTGGCTTCCGTGTTGGGCCACCTTTGTGACAGAGCTGGAAATAACATTTTTTCTTAATATCACAAAGCCACATTGATATTTTCAGTTTAACTCTAATTTTCCTGGTCATTTTTTATTTTGTTCTTAAAAAAAAAACACACCTTTTGCCCGGCTGGCGTGGCTCAGCGGTTGAGCATCCACCTAGGATTCAGGAGATCGCGGTTTGATTCCGGGTCAGGGCACATGCCCGGGTTGTGGTCTCAATCCCCAGTGCGGGGCATGCAGAAGGCAGACGATCAACGACTCTCTCATCATTGATGTTTCTATTTCTCTCTCCCTCTCCCTTCCTTTCTCTGAAATCAATAAAGATATATTAAAAAATAAAATAAATTAAAAAATTTTAAAAACACCTTGTGTTCTCTGTGAGATGCCAACTTGAAAGTTTATCTCCTTTAATTGTATCCTTTCATTTTTTTTCTTTCACATTTTATTTGTAAATAACCTTTGGTCAATTATTGATCAAGTGGGAAAGGCTTTGGAGGGGATCATGCCTGGTTTGCATCCAGATGCTCTTGGTGTTTGCCAAGTGATCCTGGGCAGGTGTCTTAAACCTTCTGAGCCCCTTTCTTGGTCTGTGCCATGGGGAGTAATTAGGCAGCAGGGGTCTGAGGGGTGAGCGCCAGCATTTCCTAAATGGTGCTGGGCAAAGGTGAGGGTGAGTGAGAGGTGCTGACAGGTGGCAGTGAGGCTTCTCGGAGGCTGCTTCTGGGACCTGTCCCTATTCCTGACTCTCCTCGGGTAGGGCAATGTTGGGGGGTGAGGGGGCCCAGGACCCTGGAGTGGGGAGCAGCCTGCTCAGCTGCAGTAAGTAAGCCTGGGCCAGGGGAGGGAGGGCTGAACCCTCAGGAGTCCAGGACTGTGGGAGCAAAGGGTTTAATGTTTCAAATCAGATCGAGGAAAGAAAACCTGCAGTAGTGGTTGCAGATTTTGAAAGGTGGCCTTTTTCAAATGCACACTCTGTATTTGCCCAGAATTGAGCACATAAACTTGTCCTGACCTCCGTCAGAGGTAATGAGGGTGGCACAGCCCCGGCCCCCCACCGCCTGCACCCTCCTGTTTCCCTGACTGGCACCTCTCAGCCCCTGCGCTCAGCATCCTTGGAAGACATTGCCTCCATCTCTGCATCATTTTTCAGAGCCGGCCAGTTTCTATGGCAACTGATAGATTGAAAGATGAGCGGTGAGCGGGATGAGAGGCTGGAGTGAGATCTCCGGGTGGTGGTGTGTGTCCCTGACGTCACCCTCCATACGCCTGGATAGGAAGATTCTGGCTACTCCCATTCAGGGCTGCCGGGGTCTGGATGGCTGTGCAAATTGCCTCCCTTCCTGCTCCTCCTACCCTCCTCTGAATTTTTCCCTTCACTGCCCCTCTTCTGTGTTGGCTCCAGGCTGTGGCCGAGCATGCACAGCTTAATCCTGGCGTGTTGCGGGATGCTCTCCTGCCCAGGGCTCGGGAAGGGCAGGGAGGCATGGCAGCGTTCTCCTTGACGTGGATGGCGCTGTGAAGTCCCTTCTTTTCCCTGCGAGAATCCTGACTATGCAGAAATTTATCGAAGCGGATTATTATGAACTAGACTGGTATTATGAAGAATGCTCGGATGGTAATTATGGCCCGTGCCAAATAGAGCGGAGATGTGTAGGGGCATTGTCTCCCGGGAGGGGGCAGGGCGTCCTGAAACCTTCCCGGGGAGATGGGCAGAAGGAGGGGGCACTGGGACCAGCGCCGCCAGCAGCCCTGTGGCTCTGACAGTTTCCCAGGCTTGGTGGAGGATGGCAGGTGGGCAGGGCTCACGCCCCTGGGAGGCTCCTCTGCGGGTGCCCGGTCTTTGCACGGAAGGGGAGATGGTGTTGCAGTGCTGGGCTTGCGAGGATTGTAAGTGGGATTGAGTTCCCTCTGGGGCGAGGTGTGAGCCTGGTGTGGATAGCGGGTGTGCGAGCTCAGATGCGGTTGCTGTCCTCTGTGCTGCCGGAGGGGCTGGGGAAGAGTGTGTTTCAGAGGTGGCCTTCTGGGCGGGCAGCTACAGGCCTGGAGGAACCCGCCCTTTCTGAGCCCAGACCTGCCCCCGAGGGAGGCTGGAGAAGATGCAGCAGCGGCTCCCACCCAGCAGGTGGTTCGAAGGAATTTTGCTGGTGGGATCCCAGAGGTGGGGGTGGGGAGGCATCGGGAGGGGCTGGGAGAGACTGCATCCTTCTGCCAGGTCTCCGCGTGTGCAGGGAGGGTGCGCCACATTCCAGAGGAGACTGGGCGGAGTTGGTGCGGCCCCACTGGCCTCAGGAGGTTCCAGGCCACTGGGGAGGGGCCCCAGGCCCCTGTGGTGTTGGGCATTGAAATCATGTATGTCACAGCTCATCCGTCTTCTTTATCGGTGACCCTCCAATCACATGCCTTCACATACATACACAACACACAAATAGGACACAATGAACATGGGCACTTTGAGGGTCTGTCTCCCAGGGATGATCTGTTCCCAACCCCACGCGAGTCGTTAATAGGTAAGGTGACTGCTTTTTAATTGAAGAGGGAGTTGCAGATGGCTTGAACCATGACTACCTTGGGTTAACCTGAATGATGTAACAGGCCGGGAGCTGGCCTCATTAGCAAGCTGAAGAACTGCATAATTATCTGCGATCTGCTGATTTCCGCCTTGACTGTGGGCTACAGGACAGGGGCCCAGAGGCTCTCTCGAGGTGGTGGGGGGTATTTAAATCTGCCAAGCAACTTCCCCAGTTGAGCTCCACTGTCCCCCAGCCTTAGGTGGAGACAGTGTCATGTAGAGTCTGTGTACGTCTTTAAGTATCTTGAGTCATGATGATGGCAGGCAGCTCCCGAGGTCCTGAGGGGACAAGATGACTGCATTCTTGTTTTCTATTGGATACATTCTCCTCAAAGCAGGTTCCCATCCTATTACCTACAGTGCTGCTGCTTTTTGGAAACCACCATTGACCTCTTGTAGTTTCCTTGGTGATTTGTGACTCACCGAATCCTCCATAAGTTTTTAAAATGTGGACCTCAAGGAACCACCGGTTAGGGAGCCTCGGGTACAGCAGAGCACCTGTCCCTCGGCCTGTGGGTGAGTTGGGTGTGGCTGTGGCTCATACTGATCCTTCCTAGAAGCGGGGGAGGAAGATTTCTTATCGTCTTGACCCAATTGCTAGACTGTCCAGCTCTCTTTACACCCTAGTCTGTGGAGATAAAGCCAGTCGCCGGTGTTGGTCAATCTGAGGGTGAGAGGAGGCCTGTTTTATCTGCGCGGCTGTCAGAAGGATTTTCTTACCCAGCAGTTTCTCAGTTGAGCCTTTCGGCCCCGAGACAGCCAGATCTCTCTTCTTGCAACAAGAAAGGAAAATGGAAGAAGAGGTAGCTCATCTGTCCGAGGGTAAATGCATGTTGATTGTAGTTACTGTGTGGATGTGTGTTGAGCAAAATGCATGGCCTTTGCCCTCCATCCCATTCGGATGAAGGGAGAAAGCCGCTGGGATGGAATCTCCTGGGACAACCGGAATTTTCATAATCCTGTTTGCTAAAGATAGTTAGCAAATAGGGATGGAAGGGGGACAGAAGCCCAGAAATACATAGTTCAGGAAACCCACCAAAGGGGGTGGACTTCAAGTACATGCTAATTTTGTAGTTATTTGTCTCCATAGTTCTGGCTAGTTGGATTTTTCCCGGCGGCAGGTTAGTCTGGAAATGCAGTTTGCCTCTGCTTATGTGCATCTTTGAAATTGCCTTCACCTCCCGGTTCCGACCTTCCAGGGAGAAGGCCAGGCGGGGAAGGAGCAGACACACACCATCATCACGTATGTCCGATGACTGACTCATACTTCAATCGCAGGGTTAGCACTGAAAACAGTAGGGTAGGTGGGCGGGTGGGACTCAGGGTGGCAGGACGATTAGGACCCCTCCGGAAAGTCGGAATTGAAAATGGCTTCCTCTCTCTTCTCCCTCTGAGCTTTAGGGGATTTTTGCTCAGTGTTGGACGACTGCATTTTCCTCCCTGTTCAGTGTTAGCTGTGGCATCTCACACTCCATCCCCCCCACGCGCCAAACACACAGTAAGACCCCAGAGGGGCACCAAGGGCAGGGACTTCGAATAAGAAATGGGAGGGGTTGGCTGCCCAGTACTTTAGGTGATTTTTAGAGATTTGGATTAGCCAGCAATCAACACGCCGTAACAGTGGCCTCTGCAGAATTTGCACCGTTTACAGTTTAAACTCTGGTGTCAAACAGGGTCACGGTTCCCTACACTGCGTGTGTCCCATCTCTAATTGCAGAACCTCGAAAGCCTGGCCGATCATGAAAACCACCCGCTCCCTGATAAGGCAGGTTCTCTGGCCCCCTCCAGACCAGGACAGGCTCCGGAGAAATCTGAATTGTTAGCACTTGCGTTCGGGGATTTCCAACATCAGGTGTGTTTGGGAAACTCAGGGCAGTTGTCAGTGGAGACCCGCCCCAGACACAGGGGTCTGGAAATAATTCTTTAGATCTGTTGCAGAATCTTATGTTGTTTCTTGGCTACACCAGTCACTTAAAAAACAACAACGTGTGCTTATAAAGAGAGGGAGGCCTTTTTAATTTTCAAAAAGGCTTGGGTTTAAGTGTATGCTCTTAAAGAAACAGAGCGCACCTTTGTAGTTATTCTAGAAAGCTGGGATAGCTGAGCATTGGCTGGAAGTTTGCATTTGAGGTCTGTTTTGTGCTCTCCGTGGCTGCGTGGTTTGGGTGCCTCCTGGGACCTCAGTGAGGCTCTGTCAACCTAGATTCCCCATCTGGAAAATGGGGATAAGCACACTGACCACAGGCTACTCGAGGACGTAAAGAGTGTCCATAAAGCAAGAGCCCTTTGTAAATAGTGACGTGCCGGGCCAGTGGGTAATGGTGTTTTCTTGGAAATAGTACTAGTTACTAAGTTCTTTTTAAAAATCCCCTTTTTAAAGGTATAGTATGTTGATCACCTGTTTCTTGCTGCATTTATTTAAAAATATATTGAATTTTAGAGAGAGAGGAAGGGAGAGGGAGAGAGAGAGAAACATCAATGTGAGAGTGAAACATGGATCGGCTGCCTTCTGCACGCCCCCCCGGTGGGCACTGAGCCCACAGCCTGGGCATGTCCCCTCACCAGGAATCGAACCAGCAACCCCTTGGTGCGTGGGACTACACGCAATGAACGTAGTTACATGGGCCAGGGCATGCAGTTATTTTTGTAATCACCCAGCCTCATGTCCTTCTCTTACATGTTACAGATTCAGATGTGGGGGCAGGAGATGGTCTAGTTAATAGTGATTTTATAAATGGGGGAACTCGGGTAGGTTGTCGGAGTGGGTCCTGTGACTTCTGACTTTATAGTGAAACTCCATGGCGATACGCAAGGGCAGTCTGGTGTGCTGTTGCTCACTTGATTGCTGTGACCTCTAAAATGCCACGCCAAGGCGAGGCTGGCTGGCATGCGAGTGAAGTGCTGTCAGAGGTACTTTAAGCATTCATTGAAAAGCTGGTAGTAGGTTTTGAGATATTTTCCTAATTTTCCTGCACTCCGTGTCCAGCGATGTCAACAGGCCTCTCTTTTTTCACTTCGTATGTATTGTGGGACGTACCTGTGGGATGCAGCTTTGGAGGCAGAGGTTAACTTCTCCCTTTCCAGACAGCACTCTTCTGATGGCTGTTAAGGTAATTTTTTTTAAGAAGGGGAATTAAATGTAGCTGTGAGTTTTTAATCACTAGCTTTGCTAAAGCAGAAGGAGTGTTTTCCCTCGGTTGCAGAAGCAGAGGTCTGGAGAGCTCGCAGGAAGGCCAAAGTGAAGCCATGGTTTTAAAGCCCTGGGTTTCTGTAAAGAGGACAGGGGTGGAGGTGTCCGGTGGGAGCAGAGGCTGTGGGGAGACCCAGGCGGGAGGCCAAGGAGTGTAGAGCTCACCTCTCGAAAAGAAGGGACCTTTCTGTGACTATGGAAATGTTCTCTCCTCGGCCGTCCAGTGTGGCAGCCACTGGCCACGTGTGGCTAGGGAGCACTTGAAGTGTAGCTGGTGTGGCTGAATTTTGGATTTTGTTTAAATTTAAATGTAAATGGCCCTAGTGGCTTGTGGCTGCTCTTTGGACAGCACAGGGTAGACCTTCAGGAAGGTGACTTCATGGAGGTATGTCGAGGAGACCTGGAGAGGGACACTCACAGAAGGATGCCCCTCTGCCCTGCAGGAGGCAGGCGACCCCTTCCTCCTTTGGCCCTTCTCATGCAGTGTTTCTGGAGACGGTCAGGAACTCACTCCCTGCCTCCTGCCTCTAGGGCAACAGTCACACCTGCTGCTTGACTCTCCCAGGGCTGGGCCCGGCCACCCCATCTCCCACATCATGTCCCTATCTTTCCGTGGCACAGGGAGTGCCAGGCTTACTCACTGGCCTTTAGGGGTCACATGTGGCTTTGGCTTTCACACAAACTGCTCTATCAGAGAAGGGGGCTCTTGGGCCCATCTCTGCCTTTAACCTTGGAGTGAATGCAGGTGTGGATGCGGTCTGAGAATCCCCTCACGTCCCCACAGGGAGGGAGGGAGGGGAGATTTGGGTGGTGGTGAGGATTTCCTGAAGAATGATGAAACCTAGGGAAATGGGGT